CCTGAAGAAACCCTTCTTGTTACTCTTCATAGAATCATAGAATCATAGAATATCAGAGTTGGAAGGGACCTCAAGAGGTCATCTAGTCCAACCCCCTGCTCAAAGCAGGACCAATTCCCAGCTAAATCATCCCAGCCAGATGCTGTACCTGCCCCATGAGGCATTGCAACCGTTCCCAAAGCACCCTGCAGCCAGTTGCACTGTGGTAGCTATCCCACTGTGCACTGCTTTCTTTGTCGTTGCAAGAGCTGCTAGTGTGGATGCACTCCAGCCAGGGCTGTCCCTAGGGGGGTGCGGGGCCTAGGACAGATCATCCTCCTTGCCGGCCGCCGGGCCGTCCCTTGCCACCTCCTCGCTGTCCGCACACCCGCCTGCCGCTCGTCTCTTCACCCGCCTGGTTGACTCTAGCCTCCCCGTTAGTTTCCTTGCCACCTGTCCAGCACTCCACTAGTCCGCTGCTCTCCTCCTCGCCGTCCGGCTGCCCACCCCTCCCCCTCCCCCTCCTTACTCCCCTTCCACTTGCCTGCCTGCCACTCACCTCCTCACCCCGCTCACCCTCCCACCTCACCTGAATATTGGGACAAATGGCGTCCCGATTGTACATCGGTCAGGACGTGGGACAAAGGGCTGAATATCGGGACAGTCCCTATTTTATCAGAGCACGGGGGCCCCCAAAACGCAGGGCCCGGGGCGGTTGCCCCGATTTGCCCTACTCAAGGGATGGCTCTGGCTCCAGTGACACAAGGAGCACTTCTGACCCCTGGCCGGCACTCAGACACTGCTCCCACTCCACACAAACCAGCTCGGACCTGCAAAGTGAGATCACCCCTTTCCCCTCGCCCCGAGGATTCCTCCTGAGTTGCGGACTTCGCTTAGCTCTCACTGAGCCCTGAGGATCACTAGCACATGTGTCACCAGACTGCTGACAATCTCGGTGACAAGAACTCACCCTTGTGCACCTTCATGGACCCAGCCTCCAGTCCTTAGCACGGGCATGAGGCAGACTAGGCCCCCAAGTTTTACATGCACCTCTCTTCATATCACAGTCACATCTCTGCCAAGCTGCTCCCAGTCATCCACAGCTGACACACATGCAGGAAAATGCTGGTATTCCGATCCGTGGAACACAACACAAACGGTGACATGTTCTTCTATGGCCAGAAAGGACTATCTACAATACAGGCCAGGAATTTCATCCACTTACAGCTATACTGAGCTCAATACCTTGTAGTTGACTAATCAGCCTCCACAAAGGCATCCAATCTTCATTGGAAGACTTCCTGAGATGGAGGAGCCTCCACTTCCATTGGTAGTTTTTAAACCTTTGCACCAGCCTTACTGAACCATTTCCAGTGGCTATTGCCAGCTCCAGGGTTAGGAAAGGGGCAAAGTTAAGGTTGTGTTGCAATTGTGGCATGTTCTTGGCCTCTGCGTGGCTGTAGTTTATGGGTATTTAATTACCTTTAATTTTTTAATTGATTTCCCCCCCCCCATAACTATGTCTACCCTAGAGCTTTTCCCAGCATAGCTGTGTTGGTCAGCGGGGTGATTTTTCACACCCCCATCAGACAGAGCTAGGCTAGCAAAAAGTTTAAGTGCAGACTGGGCAAGAAAGTGGGTTTTTTAGTTCAGAGAACT